GGTCCATATTTTTGCAAAACTTTGATCGTAGCATTCTTTTTTTGCTAAAGGGACTTTAAGTGTCTTGTTAACTGAGTATCTTGTTTCACGAATCTGTGTGAATGGCACAAACAGATTTGTCATATACATAGGAGCCAATTTGTTTAGACATTTCAAAACAAGCAGGTATACTCGATTGACATACTGTTCAATTTCTGTTTAAATTTATTAATGTATCATTTTCTACTTCTACTGAAACTTTGAATGATTTAAAATCATTCTTATTATTTGTATTCCTCTTTTAGACAGTCATTCCATGTTTTTTCCGTCGCAATTGTATGAATATAATTCATCTCTTTCGGTTAGAATTTTGATGTGTTTTTGATGTGTGCTTCTGTACAAAGGCACAGGGCACAGGTGTCTCCTGTTACGCAGCGGCCAGCAGATACCTAAGCCGAACTCATCTCCTAATCACAAACCGTTGATGTTAATGACGAACGTTCCTCTGTTCTTTTTAAAATAGCCATCTAATTACGAACGCAAAGAAGTTATGTTCGTGTTATAACGAACAGCATGGTAATAGGCCTTAAGCTTGTCGAATTTATTGCAAAACTTCAAGTTAGCGTAACGAACAGCCCGACTTTCAAACCTTACTTGTACTTCATTCCCGCTTCGTGTCGTACTCATTATACAACAGATGTAAAGCCTAAAAGAAAACTCTTTCATGCCTGTATGTACAAGCGTATCGTTAAATGTTTGGAAGGGAGACCTTCTTGCGAAATAAAGTTTATAGCTTTTATAAATCAACTGGATTGACGTACCCCCGTCAACACAGAGAGACTTTTATTGCGCCATGTTTGTAGTCTCAAACGTTGATCGGCAACGTAATAAAATGTATACAGTAAAAACCGTCTACTGTCCATGGACCCCTTTAGGAATTCTGATGAGTTCCCAGGTTAGTTTTTGTCTCACCATGTCGATTCAAACAACCTAGCGATTGGTTTTAAATATGTCGGAGAGTTGTCCGTAGTAATATTTTATCTGTTATTAGCCTAAGTATCTGCATTTTTGCTTCGATAAAAATTACCTTGAGTCAATCACAGACTGAGGAGTAATAATTGATATATGCAGTGAAACCTCTAAAGTCAATTCTCAAGGGAACAGGTTTAAAATTTTGGTTAAGGAGAGCTTTGAGTTCAGCATTGTTGTATCATAGAATGGCGATGTAATATGCCTTATAAGAGAAGATTTGAATTATCCGAGTTTGGCTTATCAAGTGTACATTTAGACTTCCAAGCTGACCTATAACATGAGCAAAAGTGGCAAAAATGCTAACCTAGTTAACTCGGATCCAGTCCATGTCAAGATTCTCGTTACTCCTCCAATACACCCAACTTCACGCCGATCGTTGCCGATGCTTACCAAACGAAGTGTAGTGTATAAATGCGCGCTGACAACGCCGGTTGCGTATAGTGTTTAAAAACACCGTCAAACCGAGCGAGAGGACAAGACAGGACATGTCCGGTAGTTGTTTATTCATTGTTTTCCCAATGATTCATCGCTGTTACGTAACAGGATCTCCCCGTTTGGACACAAAAGCTATTGTGTCCAACATGGGCAGCACGACTGCAAATGGCTTGTAATCCGTTCCGCTTTATTCCTACGTTATTATTAACTTCAATATTGAATTTACGTACTTGAAATTTATCTCTGCCCTGCATGTAATTGTATTCTTATCATATCTGTTATAGTACGTTTTTCTTCTTTGGATGATATACGACCAACATCCCGTAAGGCCTTTTGTACGGTATCAAATCGTAGTAGACCTACAACAAAAAACTACACACACTTCTATAAAAAATGTGTGAATTACACTGCATATACGTAACACGTGTATGTACAATACATACATAAAATGGTGTGACTCAGGCGATGTCCGAAACCTAAAACTGCGGCAAACACTCGAACATGTCGCAACACGTCATCGCACATGGCGATCATATCCGAGTCCCGCTTCATTCATTAAACCGGGTTCGGGTTAAACCATTCTTCACGGCGGTAAAAGAGTCATCACGAACACAATAAGAATCAACGTACTTAATTGATCCTTTACATTTTGTTTATTTGTAGTAGCAGATGCTTATCCAAGGTTCAGTGTAATAATAGTAAAGTATACATTCCTATTATAATTGATACTATATTCCTTATATTGTATAAAACTCCTTCCAACATATAAACACCCTTGGTGTTTATATGTTTATAAATGGTACGGACCACCTCCTCATTTTATGCAAATGAGGTGTTACGTGGGCAAAATCCAGTCTTCTGATTGGTCGAGAGGCCAGAAAACGGGGGGAAGGGGCGTGGTTTTACCTATACAGACGGGTTGCACTACTGTCATAACTTTATATTTCCCAGTTATGGTGTAGTTTAGCAGTTTATAATGCTGATAATGTCGACTGTTTCTGGGTTTTATTCACCAACCAAATTAAAACACATTTGAACGCCCATTAGTGAGCCTTCCGTCGCTCTAAATACAGTGCTTATAAGTCCCTGCATCATGACTTTGACTTAAGGCACGTTGGCATCTGCAATAAAAATCCACCCTCCTTTCTATTTTTTACAATCTGTGTATTATATGGCAATTTAAATGATTGTAGATTTTATTTTAAATGTCTCTGTATACGCGGTTTACGTTTTTCTTAAATTGTTTTGAATTTTGGTCTATTTTTAACCTTTATACTTTTCTTTCCAAAATGTATGGTAAATTATGACTCTGTAATTCAGCACGTCTACCCGCGGCGGCCTGCAAGCAGTGCCAGAGAGACTGGTTCATGCATATGATAATACCACTTTCTCCCATTGCAATTTCTGTGCAAAATGTGAGATTTTTTGTTACCCTCAGGGTCACATACTACCTTCTGGAATGATTATCTCAGCTGTACTACTGTATACTTATACTGGCCCTGACCTTTTGGACCACTTTTATCGTGTTACTTTTTTACTGCAGTCGAGTCGTGTTTGTCGGGTCTACAAAATCGTTTGGGCTGGTCACCATTGCAGTTTATGCTCAAGAAGTCAACATGCCGTCGACATTCTTAGATGTAAGTCTTACCGCTTTGCATGTTCTAGTTCACTTTGCAAATTTCAAGTCTAGTCCTGTCCTGTCTTGTCTTGTATTGCATTGCATTGCATGCACGTGTCCGGTAGATTAATTTTGGATTAGTCGACATCCACCTATATGCCAATGCACAATCGCCTTGTCAACATGCATAAGCACGAACGTTTTTTCTCGAAATTTGAACATACAGACAATGTTTGTCCTCATTGAGCTCTATGTCGCATTCTTGACGGAATCTAAGCTGCTGCGTGACATTTGAGATTGAGATGAACGTATTAAGGGTTAAAAGTAGTCGCCAGTTGCCCTGTATATCTTATATGTTTGTCTTTCTCGCCACATGTTATTGTCGATATTGTTGTCATTTACTCTCATATTTGTTGTATTTGGGTTTTATGTATTTTGACGTATAAATTGTTCTCGTATATATACTTGTTTTGCACTTAATTTTTAGACGAACTGAACTAAGGTTTTTAGGTTTTATTTCGTTGTTTAAATTGCTTATATATGTATTTTGATTGTGTAATCTCACAGGATTTTTAAAGTACAGTGCATTAGATCGTGAAATTTGAGTTTTATAAATGAATAAATTAGGCCTATTATTGTACTAATAGGTCTATTATGTACCCGCATTACGTACATTTGAAAACTCGCCTGCTTTGGACTGTAAACATGCAAGGGTATTTCGGCACAGCAGTTTAGCTCGACTGTGCCTTTTAATAACGTTTGCACAATACATGTTAAATCGTAGAATAAAATTCGGCCAATACTATGAAAGTCGTTTCCCCGTAAAGACAATGACTATTTCATCTGCAAGTTAATTGAAGCGCTTCACCAGAAGAACATTGATGTACCTATTATCAACGGGACTGATGAAAACAAGTGAGTTTTAGTATTTTAAAAGCAATCTCCCAAAAATTTAGTTCTGGGTCCACCCTGGCCTTTCCAATAGATGTTTTTCTGGTCTGATTGGCGTTTGTTGTTCAACGTAGGCCGTCGGGCTAGCTTCTCGTTTGCAAGAGTGATACGAAGAAAATAGGTGCTGAAATGAACACATGAATATGTTGCCTCTGAGAAACAACAGTACTAACCTGATCAGTGGCGTAGCTTTGTGCTGGTAATCATGGGGGAGGTGAGGGATGATTTACTTGCCAGGTCATGAAAATTTGAAAAGCGGGGAGGGGGGTGACACCAGAAGACTCTGAGGTCGGTGTTCATGATATTGATGTTCATCTGTAATATTTATTTGGAAAGACATATTTATGTCCGTTTTTCATCGGGTTCCCTTGTTTTGAGTGATACTGAATGCACTTTAGTTGTTGGAAGTCTGAAAAAAAAATACAAATTCACAATACGTTTTTTATTTGCTCACCACAAGATATGGGGGGAGGATTCAATAGCCCCCCTCCAAAGAAAGGTGGGGGATATCCCCCATCCCCCTGGGATTTACAACCACGGTGCTGATGAAAATCACCCACTTGAAAATGCAAAAACAAGAGTCTCAGTTGACAAAGACAGATTATACCACTGAAACTGAGAAAATAAGAACAAGAGTAGTGAGGCGGAACTATGGTGTACTATTTACGACACACATTTTTCTCTCTCCAAAGCCTCCCCCAGGCGACGCAACTACACGACATGACGGCACGACGGCTCCTTTGCCTCGTTCCGTCGGGTCGCACCGTCGCCTTCTTGCTATTACTTTTGTACACACACGACGCGTCGCGTCGTGCCGTCGCCCGTCGTGTCGTGCTATTGTGCGTCGCGTCGTACGTCGTGTCGTGCATCACGTCGCTTGAAGCACGACGCGACGCACGGCACGACGCGCGTCTTGTTCTGTCTTCCTTTACTTCATGGTGTTTATAGAGGGGCCTTTACGCGTCGTGTATGTACAAACGAAATGGCAAGAAGGCGACGGTTCCACCCGACGGCACGACGCAAGGGAGCCGTCGTGCCGTCGCGTCGTCCTGGTTGCGTCGCCTGGAGGGAGGCAAGAGAGAGAGAGAGAGGAATGTCTGTCGTAAATAGTACACCATACGGAACAGAGGCAGACAGGAATTCCAATTATCAAATGATTAATGCAGGCGACGCGTCGACCGGTAATCAGCAACATATGGCGCATGCTCAGGTTCTGGCCACTGGCTGAGTGCTTTGATTGTGTAGCGGGGTACAGTTAATGACCGCTTCTCTATGCAGAGAAACGTATACCTGAGAAAGTTGGGATTCTCCGTGACGTTGTCTGAGTTATGTTTTGGACGCTGCGCGGCGAGCAATTTTTTTCCGTTGGTGGGTGAGTCAAAAAAGATAAATTATTCATGAGGCCTACTGCTGCACTGAACTCCAATGACCCAGTATACATGTACCTGTACATACCACCAGTGCACAGTGTACATGTAAGTGTGTGCACCGTGACTGCAGTCCGATCACTTGAAGTTTTATTCTGTGAATGCTTCATATGCTGAGAATGGAATGTAATGAAGTTTAGACAATAACTTTGTCCCGTTATATTTTCGATAGTTGAAAAAGGCATTCTGTCCTTTGAAGTTGACTAGCCTTTATTAATCTTTGTAAATATAAGCTTATATTTTCATTTTTTATCTAAAAACAAGTCCAAGGCTAATTTCCATCTCTCTTTAATTCATTCATTTTCAGTCATCCTCGAAACTTAGTATCCTCACTGGTTCGGAATAGTTATGCACTGCACTCTTGTTTCGTTTGATTCATGCTTTGCTAAAGTTCAATTCCTGTGTAGAAAATGAAATCCAATTTTGACACTCACAGCATTGAAAGAAAGATTTTTAATAACAGTGCAAGCAAAGAAATGCACAACCGAAGTTTCAGTATTTCGTGGTCATTTTCTGAAATGAATGACACTGGATGATGATCAAAATTTGATGCTCAGCATGGCGTGATTAGATTGCGGTGACGGTGCACACGTGTACATGTATGTACATTGTGTCACAGGTGGTTGAAGTTGAGCAGTAGGCGTCATGAATAAATTCATGTTTTGACTCGCCCACCGAAGGAAAAACATTTGCGCACGGCGTACTTGTTTCGCGCCCTCGTGTGCCCACTTTTTACCAGAAGTTCAGAAATCCCGACTTGACGAATCTAACAACCGTTTGTACTCAGGGAACTAGGTCATCTAGGGGCCTACGTTACCAAACCTGGTGTCAGCCAAATCACATTTCCGGACTCATTTAAATCGTTCATACCTGCATTACAATGACAAGTCTACGAGGCTGACTACTTTGATTGATGGAACTTCAAATTTTGATCTCTTTTGATCGGTGGAAATTTCGTATAATTATGCAAGACATGTGGTTCATATGCAATCATAAATAACTACATTTCGCAGGGGGGGGTCTGATTGGCTTATCCGTCAAGTTGGACTTACTGTAACGTTTGACACAATGTTGTACAATAAAGGCTATCAAAACGAGGGCGCCTTATGGGAGTTATTGTAGCTGCCGAGTACGGCGATCGTATCATTGTGTACAGGCTAGTGAGAGGATGGCTGACTGGGACAAAGCAACGTAAGTCAGTCTCTAGGAGAAACGCTGCACGCATACTCACTGTACATGAAACACGGTGGAAGAGCAACGGCGTATCTAGCTTTTGGTGTCGGGGGAAACAGATTCAAAAGCGAATGCGGCTTCCGGCTTAAATATATATAATGGTACTTTAATGTCAGTTTATACGTCGATGAAAGTCTAAAACTTCCTTCATAGTTGAGTCACTAATAATTATAAGTGAAAAAGAATTATGTCTAAAAACAAGGGAGGACGAATGTGTGAAAATCGTACTACTTTTTGTTGACGAAAATCATCCTGCTCGGAAACAGCCGCCATATTGAATCATACCATAATATCTAGGGGTGATTTTGAATTTGCAAAGTTTTCCCATACACTTTCCTTAAATAAAATTCAGGTTCACGCTGATCCAGTATATTTCCTACTTTACGCCTAAAACTCAGGTTTCTATAATTTTAGTTCACAGTGCTTTTTGTGAAAGAATGTCGGTATATTTTTTGCTGCTTTTAGGTTTACCCGTTCATTAATGGAGACTTCCACAACATCAATCATCTTAAACACTACATGTAAGAAAATTGGCGCCTGTTAAAGGATTTGATATGCGATGTGAAATTAACTGTATTACTATGGTCGGCCCACCACCGGTATAAAAAAGAGAACAAAACTTTTGTTTTCTCGAAAACTACAGCATTCTGGGTGGAAATATTTGACAGCCTGATTGAGACTGTTATGTACATTCTTTCAAGTAAAATATTTCAGGATTAGGCCTATAAGGTAGTCCGATTTTACCAATGCTGTACACCACCTTGAAAATAGTGTGGAATCTAAATTAATCAGCTTGTTTGTATAGAATCCGCTAGATTGTCCCATATGCTGTGTATAAGACTAACGTTTTCCGTAAGGGAGCCATTTTTGTCATGTTCCCATAATTTGTCGTACTCAATGCCAAATGGGTTGGTACCAGACTTCTTTGGATTCCATGCCTCCGTTTAATATTTTTAATGTTACTTACAACATTTAGATATAATAAATCACACATTTTAAATTCTCCATCGTTGTTAATGAAATCAATCTTAATCGACTTGCTTTCATTTTTAATCTGAAGTTACCAAAATTAAAAGAAGTTCAGTTCACTTTCCGATAATGTCACCGACTTTTAAATAAGGCCAAAGGGATGGTCGATCATCCGTGCAGGGGTAGACATGCGCGTGTACCGTGTGCATCGCAGTGATATTGCGCCTGAAACACTTGCGTGCGGATTGGAAAGCTTTAGCTGAGAGCTAGCGGTACAGTGAATGATGAATTGCTTGCCGTAATAATGAACACCTTAGGTGGGGTGACAGCTGGGTGGAGATCTGTTAATAACTCCGCTGGATTCCTTCAGGGTTACCTGTAGTGCTGTGGTTCCTACCAAAGTTATTGTCCCTTGGTGTGATAAATTCTAATCGCCAGTTTAGACTTATCCCTTGGAAAAAAGATTACCTAGGCCTAACGTCAAGTGTTCAGGTTTAACATGTAAGGCATATTAAATTCTAATTTGAATTTTGTAAATAAACCTAGTGCAGAGGATATACGTATACCTCGTTGGTTTAATTTTGTTCACCAGGATTTACGCTGTTATGACAGCGTTTTATATTACACTTTTATGTGCCGCTTTTAAACCGTTTTAACCCACGATATGCATTTAGGTATGTGTTTAAATGCTAAATGCTTTTCCATGGTACACGTTCAGCTTTGTGAAATCTGCTTAACGTTTCAACACATTCATACACGCATTTAAATGGAAATTTCTAAATGTTGATGAGCGTGAAACTTTTTCAAAACTGAGTACAAGAGAGTGTCTAGAAATGTATTTAAACTCTCCCCTCTGCCATGGTTAGTATTAAAAACATCCACGAAATGCTGCAAGTCTTAGTCCGCCATTCATTACCCCCCCCCTCATTTAGGGTAACCACTCACCTGTGCATAAGGGCTGGTTCATACTTGGCGTGAAAACGAAAACAAATGCGAATTTGGGAGGTAAGGTCAAATATTAGCGCTACGATTTCGCAAAAGTTGAATGAATTTCAACTGGGGCGAGATTTTGCTGCATATCTGTCGTGACGTCGATCGCTTCGCTTTCACTTTTACCAGTAGTATGTAAGGCTTATTAAAAGGGTTAAAACAGGTGTTGGTTTTAGCCTTTTAAAAGTATGGCAGACACAATAGAAGGGCGCTATTTGAAGTGGTAAATTTGGAGCAAACACAAGATATTTTACCCACCTCTAAAAGGCTAATTGCTGTTCCAGGATTATAAGACCTGCAAAGTGCATGCAATTGACTTACCTTTACATCTCTGTCCAATCATAAATCTTTCCATTCAAATAATTTCAGCCATTCTATTTTTACTTAATTTTCAAGGTCAAGGGTTTATATGCATTACACTGTCATATTGTCCAATAATGTGCTAAACGTACTAACAGCCATCGCGGCCGAAAAAAAATAATGTGGGTTTCATCAAAATAAAGGAAACTCTGCCAGAAGCCGCTTTCTCTGTCGTTGTGCTTTCTTCCATATTTCAGCGCGGCCTCACATTGGCATTTTTGAAGGAGTGGTTTCTTTCTTCCCCTGAAGCCACTTATTTTTGACATGTCATGAGTGAAATTATTAATAAAGTCATCCAAATTTAAAAGTTTTAAGAAACGATATTCTTATAGAAACAGGACCGAATGCTGGTCATTGTACAGAAAATATATGTAAATGGAAGTTAAATGTATTGTGCTCAGGTGCAAACTCTGTTAACTGCTAAATGGAGGGTAAACGTAAAATATATTAATCTAGTGGCTTGTTTAAGTTTGATATCAGAAGGGCAAATATCAACCTTTAAACCTCAGTAATGTGTATTTCGTTTGACCAAACTTTTTAAAATTTGGTATCGATGAATAGGGTCAAAATGACGGGATGGAGACAAGGGGCCAGGCTCCCCGACGGTTGCGGTCGTCCAATTCAACAAGTCAAGATACCGAAACGGCCGGAACTGTCAAGCTAAAGAGGGAAGTGGGTTTGGTTAGAGGAGTAGCAATCATTATGTGTGGAATGATTGGTTCTGGAATCTTCATCTCACCAAAGGGGATTCTCCAAAAAGCTAACAGCGTGGGAATGAGCATCATCATCTGGTTTGTTTGTGCTGCGGTTTCTTTGATGGGTAATATCATTGAGTTCTCGAAATCAGTTTAATATTATTGCACAAATTATATACCGGTTATAAATGTCTCTATGCCAGTCTTTCTGTATCTTGCAGGTTTACAACAGTTAATGTATATTGCTGTGCGAAGCTGACAGCAGTCCTCTATATACGCCAGTTTTATATTGGGTTTTTGAGTGAGGATTTATGTTGTCTTAAAAGCCACAGTTTGTCCACCTCAAAATTTCAGTTTGTCCAGCTCTAAAAGACACGCGTCCGTTTTTTTCCCTTGGTCTCTTATCCCGCAATCGAGCCTTCAAGTGATGGTTAGGGCAAATGTCCAACACTCTCTTTTTCAGTAAGCCCTGCATACTTCTGCTTCCCGACTACAATACGTTTCAATAGTAATGTTCATTCTCCCTCTGAAATGTTTTTAGTATGGTGGCACTAGATGGACATCGCCAGTCGTCAATATTGACGCCAGTATTCACGACGAACTTTACTCTCTGGTTGTGGATATTGCCGTCAATATTCACGACTAGCTCTTTGGTAGCGAATAGTGCCGTCAATATTTACGACCAAAATTCACGACTTGCTCTTCAGTCGCGATTATTGACGTCAACATTGAGATCAAATTCACAATTCGTTGTGTCTGTTGTCGCAATTATTGCCGCGAATTTTTTTCCAGCAAGCTAGGCGGAAATGAAGTGTTCACGCGAAGGCGCAATGACCTACATTTTTCGGCTTGATCTCAAGTCATTATTCGGCTGGGCAGTTTTGAAACAACGCAGGGGTCACGTTAAAGCAATTGCTTTGTATACAGCCCAGCAACTTCTCTCTCTACCTGGCTCGCTGGGAAAAAATTGCGACCGGAGATACAACGAGTCGTGAAGCTGGCCGCAAATATTGGCATCATGTATTCGTGACTGAAGAGCAAGTTGTGAATTTGGGTCGCAAATAGTGACGGCAATGTTTGCGACTGGAGAGACAGTTGTGAATTTGGTCGTGAATATTGACGTCAATATTTATTGACGATTGGCGATGTCCCTCCAGGGCCACCATGTTTTAGTTTGTCATTACGTCAGGCAACGACTTCTGCATCCAGCTCTGTTCTTTACGTCGATAACAACCACGTTTATAATGCTCGAGTTCCTTAGTGATTTCCTTATTTTGTGTCTATTTTAATCAACCATAGCGAATCGCAAAAAAAATGTACGCCTGCAAAAGTTTACGCTTTAGTTTCATCTTGACTGAGTTGTTGACAGTTATCTGATTTCCCAAATTTGTACCGTTGTTTTTGTTTCTCTATTCTTCGCTTCACTTCCTCTCTTTTTATCCCAGTTCAGCTGACAAGATATTACTACTTGCTTTAGATCCAGCCCTCTTGAAAACTTTTCGTTTTGCAATATGTTCATTTTCAGTATCTCTAATACACAAGGTTTTGCGAACATTCACCATATTAAGACTCGGTCTAAGATACTTTCTGGAAAGGGGGTTGCACTAGGTAACCACACAATAGCCCGTAGATAAACGTTTATGCACTTTGCCAAAGATGAATATAGGCTATGAAACACGCCCGATTTTTCTGTCATTTCGTGGCACCCACTTCGGAACTAGATGGAAATTCACGTGTGCATAGTTTGAACTATGGGAAATTCACTAGATGATGTTGTCATTGTGACAAAGGGTACAAAGGGGAGAAATCCGGCGTTAAAATAATTCGTCGTATTTTGTGCACAAATCAATGCATTTCCCCAAATGGGGGACGGTAAACAGGTGCATAACATAGCGACTGTTCAAGTGAACACAATGCAATAAAATCAAAAATAGACAAATTGATGTATTTTTGAAAGACTTTTCGGTTAGTTTGAACAGTTTTGCTCTGAAATTAGCGTTTTGACAGGTTTTCCATTTTTCGAATTCCCCAATTTTAATTTTGTACCCAACCTTCCATACATAATGACTTTTCAACACAAGAGGGTGCATAACAAAGTCTGGTTTCTAGACTCATCATATCCCTCTTTTCATAAATTTCTATCAGCCACTCAACCAGACTAGAGATCCAAAGAACAAGAACGATGTCGTTTACGTGCACGTGCTGTCATGGCTGTGTATTGATTGTAAAATGGAGCGTGTCTTAGTGTTCCTGAATGTCGAAAAATGTGAAAATGTGTCCTGTAATTGTCTCTTGAGAACTGGTGGAAAGTTTCGGTATGACATTGACGAGCGCTGTGTTGCAAGTGTAGTCGGGATCTAATCAGTACAAGCTGATAATGTTGCAAATGCAAGTGTTGGGGAGATTTGGCTTTCACCGAAAATGTAGGTTCACTCAACACTACGAAATTCATAGGAAAAGTGTCAAGTGTGAGCAAGAGGTACAACTTGGGAATGCGGATGTCACAGAGAGCAAGGAAAAAGGTATGTGTGGGTTTCTGGATGTCTTTTAAGGCTCAACTCCAGAATGATTTTGCTTTAAAATTTGACGTAGCCTACCACGCCTACCAACTAGCCCCACAAATAGGGCTGTAGTGGCTCTTGTCTCTTTTCTGTTGCCACCACAGCCCTACTTCAAGGCATGTCTTAAATGCCTGAAATCCAAACTGCAGGATTGTCACAAACTCTGAATCCTAATATCTTCTGAAATGAGTATGACTCGACAATTTTACTTAAACTGACGTATTCCTCAGAGTTTGGACTTTTATATGAGCACCCTAAAGCTTTCCAAAATTGTAAATTTTTCGATGTGTGGCGCTTTGAAAAACCCGGCCTGTAGTATTACATGCTGACCACGGGCGGCAGATAGGAGACAGATTGTAAACGAGCGGCCACCACAGCCCTATTTGTGGGGCTAGCCTACCAACATGATCAAGTACCTAGCTGCGCGCGCCATTTGCTAATGTACAGTGGGAGACAAATCAGAGACACATTTTAAAAGAGAGCCTTTATAGTGTGTGGCTAACCAAGTACAAATGCAAATTTGAAAATATTTTTTCAACATTAATGTACTTTCATATATTCTTTGAGTGGGTGTTGTAGAATGACCAAAGAATGACGAAAGACCAAAGCTCTCTTTCTCTATATCTCCATCTCCAGTCAATTTCTTCTTTCATCTCTATAATCATTTGTGAGCACTTAATCAGTTCCCCAACATAGTTTGTTTCATGATCTTCATTTCTATAGAGGGTGAGTTATTCTCTTAAATCTGTTTTTTTATAGTTTTTTTATAGCTTGACCTGGTATGTCAAGATATGCCTTCGAGGAAGCATTTCCGGTCTTCTGTATCAGTTTACTGAGCCCCATACACATCGATGTCATCCACAGCAAGAAACCAACCACTCTGACATCACTGCAGGCGACGTTTATTTTGCTATAATGTAGAAGACTTGTAAAACTGTTTTAAACACAGTTTCATGCTATAAGGTGCAGCAGGACTGGTTCGGACTGGTTATTGTTCTTTATCTCCATACAAAATGTAACTGGCACCCATTCTTCTTTGATATATGAGTGAAATCCGCATACCTGAAATTCACAATATAATTCTGGACAGTTTCCAACACGCCCAGTTGTAATTTACTTTTTTATTATGCTGGTGTAGTCAGTTTTGGCATTTGCTTCCTCTTTTTGCCTTGTAAAACAGTGTTTAATTGTTTAGTGTTAAAAATGTGCTTGATTGAAAGGTTTGGTAACCAGAATTGCATCGTTGCCGCACTGTACTACGCAGGCAGAATGCGCTACGGTGGATATAAAATGTGCAACTGTGTGTGCAGAAAACGGCAGGTTTTTTTAAGTCAGAATTAATCCTTTTGTACTTTTTTGTTGGAATGGCAACATTCAACACTGCTTCAAGCTATATGTCAGGTTATTTTTGTGTCGTTCTGAGTCGGGCGCCACGAAGACCATTTTCTGAACGGAATGTTGGGGCGCGTTTCATGGCCTTACAGTAGTCCCATTTTTAATCGTTCAGTTACATTTGCTTTTTCTCCGTAAAATCTCCATTTCCTTTAATTTGGGGTTGGTCAGATGTTAATATTGTTTCAGATATATAAAGTTAAGGTAACTTCGGGATTGGGAGGGAAAGACAACCTGTTATTGAACTAACTGCAGTTACAGTAGCGCGTCAGTGGTTCTGTTAACTTACTATAGTACATAGTAAACCTAGCTTCGTGTGGGATTAATTGAGCATTCTACTGGGGGTAATACAAAAGATCACTCCAGGATACAAGATAAAGCAGGCATCATTTTTTTTCTTTTTTTTATCACTTCACCCACATATTATGCACATGTTGTTTTTAGATTCGTTGACCAGTAACGGAAAAAAAGTCGAATTTTGGACACTCCATTTTATCAACCTTGTAGAAATACATGCATAGCTACATCATGGGTTGAATTTCCGTTTTGGAAAGGCACCTGACACTTTGCATCGTTGTACCTTTTGAACTTTCATTTTGCATACTGTAATTTTTTGTTCGAAAGTGATGGACCAAGGTTAACGCTTTGTGCTGAAAATACGTCTTCAGTGGACACCATTCATGGTTTTGGTGCTACACGTGTAGTACTGGCATTTCCATGTAGTGCTCAACGAGGCTGCATGGGATAATCTTTTAGAGTGATAGTAAGAAAATAGGAAGTGCCTGTGACCGGCCTTCGACAAATCAAGACACGGATCTATGGGTGAGGTGCTATATAATTACAGCATGATACCCAATACCATATTAAACACTATGTCGTGTACCATTCCAATGCCAGGTGCCTTGTGCTATGTCGAGTTGGGAACCGTCATCCCCAAAGCTGGTGGCACTTATCAGTACATTCTACACGCCTATGGTGACTTCGCCGGGTTTTTGGTGTCCTGGGCCACCGTAGTCATTATGAATCCATCTGGCTCTGCGCTGGTTTCCATTACTTTCGGCACCTATGTAGCTGGTTACATCATCCCTGGTGACTGTGAACCTCCGAAAGAAGCCGTCCGGCTTATTGCTACTCTGGCTGTCAGTGAGTTCAAATGTTTGTTAGATTTTGTTATTCAATACTTATATGCAGTTGGTGCATTGAAATTATTGTGAGGACTGTAAACCCCAGTGTCCCCATAGTGACATCGTTTTTTTGACATGTTCCTGCAATTTTGGTTTATATTCCATTTTTAACAGATCTTTAAAATTAGTTCAACTAAGTCAAATGTGAGTTTGTATTTTAGTGTTGTCGCTTTGGCATTGCATGGAACGACGGGGTGTTCCTTCCCCACCGTGAAAAAAAACTTAAAAAGGGAAAACGGAAAAAAAGAGTGGAAGGTAGTAAAGTAACATGGAAACAAACGAAAACAGGAAAAAGGGACGAATATCACTACTTGGCGTGATGTTAACCCCACTGCCACCAAGGAAAGTTGAAATTGCGTGTTTAGCCCCCCCCCCACAAACACAATCATTCACACACCCATCGAAAAAAATTTAAAATTCCTTGCGATACCAGTGTCTGCTCATGGGCAAATCTATTGACCAATCAGAATACATACCACGGTAACTCAAGCAAGGGACCGCATCTTTAAGCTGTCACAGAGTAGTTTGTAAATAATACACCATTAATGAGGTCCTCGTATGTTATGACCTCATGCACAGATTTGTCTCAGCTGTATCACTGTTCTTGATAATCTCTTTTAAGTATTGACCTTTTTCTGTACAGTGATATTTGTGTTCATCAACTGCGTCAGTGTTCGTCATTCCACTAGTGTGATCGTAATTCTGACGATTTCAAAAGTTACAGCTTTACTAATCATTATTGTCACAGGCATCGTGAAATTAATTCAAGGTGAGCTTTGAATTGTCATTACTGCCTATGAGATTAGTAGTCAGAGTTGTGATAAAATTGACGTTAGGTACAATTCCTCTTTATTTCTATTCATATACCGGGGAGACATTACGTCAAAATGGTTTTTTTTTATAAGCTGGCACAAGTAATGGCAATCGGGCAGTACAATCTCAAGGTTGCTCTCTATAAAATCAAGAACTGTGACATGTAAGGTAAACGAGTACAAAGAGATAGCGTGTTGTTTTACCTGACAAAGGTCTTTTAGAGGGATTCACCCACGTGGACGCACAGGTTTTTTGCGAACACGTGATGATGGTGAACGTGCGCGACCAATTTATGCTATATTGGGTTGTCTGTTGTTGGAATGTACAATCACCGCGTACTCGCCGAGCGTACAGAAAAAGAATTCCCACTTGTCTCATCTGCGCTGGTTCAGGTTGGATTATTTCTGCACAGAGCGAAAATCATGAGCAAGAAATCTGAGCAAGTTGTACAGTTTCACTCTTCAGTCTTGCTTTTTGTTGTTCTGCATTTTTTTTCAGGAAACTCAAAGTACCTTAATCCAGAAGTGTCGTTCACAGAATCTAACAGTGAGATCTTCAGTTACGGTACAGCATTGTATTACGGTTTCTGGGCCTACGGTGGATGGTAAGCAACATAGAAATTTTTGTCTCCCAGATGAGACTTTAGAAGTATTGGGTGGGGCCGGCTTTCTCGAATTTAAAAGGAAGTTAAAGATCTTTAAGCAAAAAAACCAACAAAGCCAAAAAGGGGGGTCAGCGTTGTCCACAGTGCACCTGAAGAGAGAGGATACTTGGTATCATGGAGATACACAGAAAACTCGTCGCACAGTTCCTATGGGCCGTACCTGTTGTTCTCTGATGAGACATACGCGCTCTGCGCACCGTGCACCACGCGTCCCGCGAAACTCTTTTACCCAAGCGTACTCGAACAAATCGTCTGATCTACAAGGTTTCAATACATGGAAAAACTAATTTTCAAAGTTTTCCACATGTGGAGTTTTATTTCCACGAGCCAGCCTTGGTCGCGCCAGTCTGCTTAAACTGTTTCCAACTGTGTGAAAAGTCACCTGACCTATACCTAAGCTATCTGCCTTGGCCCTTGAGTTTGACGAGCAATCTAAGGTCCTGGGGTTCGGGGTTGTTTGGGCGGAAATATACCACCGATTGGTAATTGATTTTGTGACCCGGTCGACTGACACAACAATGAGCATGTGCGTAAACAAGATATTACAGGCAATATCAACTGAACTTGTTTAATATACTTCGCTTTAGCTTATATAATCACTATATTTACACAAGTGGAATTTACTTATTTTATACAAGAGTTACAAGAGAATAATGCAAATTACAATTAAAAAGGAACACGTAAATAATCCGCACTCCGCGAAGTGCCGCCAATAATCTGCAATCCGCAACCTCTTACCTGTATCTGCAATCCGCTCTCCGCAATCCGCACTCCTCTCACTCGGTTGACTGCACCAAAGATATCGGCGGATTGCTGGTGCTAATTAACTAACTCAAACTAACGGGCAACTCAGGGCGTCTGCCGATACTCTGGCTATCCAGTCTTCCACCACTTTCCTAGACGGTCACCTTCGGACAACCCTGCCCACAACTCTACCCACACAGTATTGATCTACCCACGGTCCTTTCTGACCGATACTAAGAACAGTAAACCATAAGTCAACTAATGCGGGTACGTTACGGTTGCTTATTAACTGCTTGGATTGCGGAACCAGTACCTGAATTACTCGCAGACTCTCAGCAGTAGCACACACGAAAGGAGCGGTTACACACAGCGCTGTTCATTCCCCGATCCAGGCCTCCAGACTGCCTCGAGACTGCCTACACCGGACGGCATAGCACGAACTAGGCATGTGCGTTTACATGGGGAATTACGCACAGATTAATGCTAATGTACCGTACACGAGTACCAATACATTGTTCTCGCGTCTTCTCTGCGCCTATAGCCTACATAGATAAGAATGATGTCATCTTTTAACTGAAACCTAAACTTGTTAAAGCCATACAAATATATTTGCATGGGTTTATTTTAGCTTTTCATACTGCGTTGCACACACAATGCGTTGATGCATTTCACTTTCACGGACATACAAATTTAATTAACATAACATACGTGTGCGTTCCGTTCGCCAGTCAAATTCGCCGGGAGTGATTTTGACGGATATGCAACGCTTGGGGCATGTGTAAACGCGCATATGGAAAGGCACGTTTAAGTCTCCGAGGTATTTGAAGTTCAGAAAATAGCTTCTGATTAATTGTTATCTGTTTACCATACCTTAGACATATTCAGTTGCCAAATTAGGAGCAAGGGAAAGGCAGCTTAGTTCGTACAAATTACCTGCCTGATTTCGGCTTCGTAGCTGTTGCCGACTTTATCTATGACGGACAAACCGCTTTTAAGGCCTACAGGTGTTCAACTTCACTCGTACCGGACGATAGTATACAAGTAATTTTGCTGTAGCAAAACGTGTTCTTTTTAGGGCTTGCAAGTAAAGAATAAAGACTAGTCACAGCGACCAACGCTATCGTTGCCGAGATTTGAAAGCCCTGATGTCCCAAAATTCAGTGCGCGAAAGTATTTTTTGAAGTCTTTGAAAAGTAAAGGTTTGTTGATGGTAGAACTTGTTTTCTAAATAATATGGGGATTTTGCTGGCTGGCTTTTAGTGCTTTTTGTTTGTTGTGTTTGCTATGTTTATTGGTTTACTCATCCCTTCGTTTGTTGATTTTGTTCCTCTGTTTATTGGTCTGTTGGTTCGTTGGTTGATTGTTCGTTCCATTATTGCCATACGCATGCATTCATATTTATAAGGTCCCTTCATAGCGGCGTAACCAGTGCCTGCGTGAGATTTTCATGTTGTAAATTTATATGTATGAAATGTTTTTGAGACAAGTTTTTGTAGGATCCATATTTCTGTTTCTAATGGACATGACTGGGTGATATTTTGCTTCAGGGACAATTTGAACGATCTGTCGGAGGAGTTAAAGAATCCAGCAAGGTTGGTTAGATTCTTTTTCCCCTTTTCTTGTATTTCTAATATTTTCGGCGCCAAATACTCCTCTGAATCAACTACAGTACAAATGTCTGAGGTTAAGGCATCAGGGCGACCCAAAAATCTTTCAGTCATTTTAATGCCATAATTTTAATGGGAGGGGAACGATATATTGTAGAGTTCTAAACCTGGCTTTAGTGAGTCTACAGATTGATTAACCCAAGTTGTAAAATTAATGATTTACTAACAATAATTTATTTTTGTAGAAATCTACCTTTGGCAATTAGTATTGCCATACCAACAGTGACTGTCATTTATCTCCTGACTAACATCGCCTATTTCACTGTCCTATCACCGACTGAGCTACTTGCATCCAGTGCTGTTGCAGTGGTAATGTATCTTTTTCTACGCAGAGTTTAAAAAAAACAGATTACGAGAGAAAAATAGCTGTTTTGCTTTGTATAAACTTAACATTGAAAGTAAAAATTTAAGCCCAGAATTTATGTTAGCAGTTGGCTTCAAATGTAAATTGCGTTTTGCCGAGAATTTCGCATATTAAATGTAACGATGAAACCAAAGATAGTTGGAATAAATCAAATTTCTTTTAAACAAAAAAGAAACGCTACGAACCATAAATTATGATTGTTTATGAAATATTCATGAATGCCAGAGGTGAGCAAATTTTATGTTCTGTTAAAAGAAGCAAAGCCAAGAGAAATGGAACATTCAATCTGTCACTGAATGGTGACATTTCATTATTTCTTCTATACGAGTCTTGCATGGACGTAGATCCAGAAGATGAGCCTTGAAATCCCTCCACACACACACAGAAGTGTGTATTTGCCTGCAACTGGGGACCCCCTATTGTTCCTCTTTTGTTTGTACTTTAACTTTTTAGAAGACCACCCATATGTTTTGTACACAGTTGTCAATCGGGGACCCTCTGTCAATCGGGGACCTTATTGTCCTCTATTGTTCAGGGTCCCCAGTTGAATGCAGAAACAAACTCCCACACACTCCCAAAAGCCACAAGAAACTTGAACTGCTGTTGTTGGGGTCATTTTTTATTAGTCTGTTTTTCCCAACAGCCAAAATGTAGCAAATAGCAATGAAAGCAGAGAAAAATCAACACAAAACGTCATACTGTTATACACTTTCAGTATGCGTGTATGGAGGAGAATTTCTTCCTAACAGCTGTTCCCCATAATACTAAACATGAGCGTTTGCAGAAATGTTTGCTGCTGTCAGTAGATGAAACGGTGTTTCGTCTTTCTTTGCTCGCCTTTTCGTCTTTTCGTCAAACATCGTCCGGACGAACGAACTTTGGAAAATACAATTCGGTCAAACACCTCCACCGTTAACGGGTGTAACGAACTGTATGTGAAGCATCGAGCTATTGGGAGAGTTTTTATGAATGGTCGTTTGTATAAAACGCAGAAATATCGCAAGTCGTTGAGACGTGGACATTACCGGAAGAGACGCTGTGCGACGTCTTTTCAAGAAAATGGCGTCCAAAATTCGGGAGATTTTCGCCAAAGAAAAAAACTTTTTGTGTGGCAATAAAACAGTTCGGCATCATGAAGCAACATTGCACGATGACAAACTGGTATTGGCCAGTTATTCAGTTATTTCGTTGACGATTGGGACTTCATATGATAGTAATAAGGAGAAAATGAACAAAAATGAGTGGTACTAAGTGAGAGAAACATCGTTGTACACCCGTCATGCCAGCATGTGTTTGTATAGGCCTATACTCAGCGACTCTGCACAAACGGTGCACCCAATCTGACTACCCACTGCTACTCATAAGTGAGGCCTGTGCAGCTAAATGGCCATGCTCTAACTATGGTGGTAATATATTATCGTGTGATGCAATACACTAGACACACTTATAAGTGAGGCTTGTTCGAGCCTTCTGCTTCCAAATTTTTTGACGCTGACTAGCCTGACCTATAAGTGTGCCACTGAATTGCATCATACAATAATATATTAGCATCACAGTTCTTGAACTGAGCTCAACTTCGCCGATCCGTCTGGGGCTGGTTTACGTTGTGTCTGGGTTATCGGCGATGCTTCCGAGACCGTTTGACACGTCTCTATATGTCTGCGTTGTAGTTTGCGTCTTAATTGTGTTGCTCTCTGCGTTTCTTACGTCAATATGGAAACCAGGCTGAATATTCAAACTGCCAATGCACTTTTGGTACACCTAAACTAATTATCAACTAATAAAAGAAATATATAACCCTAACTAACAGACTGAAGTAGGATATGAACTGGTTTGAAAATAAAGTTTCGTTTTCTCGAAAAAAATCTCCAATTTAGAAACATTTAGCTTTCTGTTTTTCCAATCACAGTAACTCTCATAGTCTCATGCCCAAAATGCAAGGACAGCTGAAGTTTTTATTTTGGGCACTGACAGGGTATGTGGACGATTTTGACCGACGCACGTGGAGCGAACAATGTCTATGCGGTGGATCGTGCATGTGAATGTGGTGAATGCAGTCACTTCGCTGCACGATAGGAAACACTGTTTATTCGACAAATTCTCAGCGTTGCATTGGTAAAGACGAAACAAAAATTTAAAGGTACATTTCCCAAGGACTCTCAGGCACGTAGGAAGATGATTCTACTGGGGGGAGAAGAAAAATAAAATCTCTCGAGTCCAATGCATACGATCGCGAGCGCGTAGCACGAAGCCTGTACGGCGTGGGGTCCGGGGCCCACTTAAGGGCCCCGGGGGAAAAAATTGTAAGGTTTGATGCTCTGTAGTAACAAGCCTCACTTGAACACTTTTGAGAAACAGATATTTTGAAATTTCGGCACATTTTGAAATTATTCTTTTAAATCAACATTCATATTTAAGGACAGTTTTTAAAAAGGAAGGTTAATAACTGTACGTAAATGATTAAGATATGTTGTAACAATTAAATTCTCAAAAATTACAAATCTTAAAATGCACATAATAAAGTCGATGTTTCGTAAACTCGTAACAGGAAAAACGTCACACAGCAGCATTACAAATTAACAAAATCAAGAGCCCAAATTTTGCCAAAGAAAATGGTGGTCACCCCAGAATACGTATTAGCATGTCTAAACACTCATTATAAGTGGAGTTTTACTCACAAGAAAAGAAAAAATGTCTATCTTTTGTGCATAAACCAGCCGATGTTGAAGATTATATGACATCGCAAACTTGCTAATATGCTCTGGGTATGTTTTCTGAATGTTTACCTTCATGATACATAGTGTTAAACCTTTGTAAACAATTTCAGTGTCATGATGTTGTTATCGTTCGATATCCAAAACTGGCGGCGTTCGGAAATTGCGCTTGAATTCAGTTGAGTGTTCCCCAGTGAGGCGCACTTGAAAAACAGTTATAGAAAATCCTTCATAAACATTTACAAAATCCTCTGAAGTTGATATATTCTTGTAAAACACATTATTTCCATTCAAATATCTACCAACAAGCTTGTCATAAAATTCTTTTCCTATTTTGGGGCACGTTTTAAAAGATTTCATTTCGCACGTTGAACAACAAAATCGGAAATCGGGCGAAAAGAAAATTTCATCTAAACTTTGGAACAGGTTCGTAAAATCGAGATTTCATTTCGCACATTGGAAAAAAAAATTGAAACCGGGCGAAAAGAAAATTTCATCTAAACTTTGGAACAGGTACGTAAAATCGAGATTTATGAATCAGAATGTGAAGAACTTTACATTAATTGGGAAATTTGAACTTAACATTTTGCTCAGATGAGACGCAAGAAACGAAAAATTATAGTGTACCACGTTAGGAACCGCGCCACTTTTAAACAATTGATTGATTAGTTGATCCGTGCTTATTCAATTAATCAATTTCTACATCCGAAGTTTGCGCATTTGGTGTCATTTTGGTTACCTCAATGTATAGAGCTGTGAGGCGTACACACACTATCTACATGTTAAGTATAACTGGTCCCCTGTCTCACAATAGAAATGTCATCAAGGGGACCAGCCAACAATGTTTGTTTGTACCACACAACCCTCGCTAGCATTATTATGTCATGTGCTGTGGGAAACAATATGGAAATTGGGTTGGGACTCGTCGTCGTCATTGCGAAGGGGTGGGAGGGACTGGAACTACAAGATCCTGATTGAAAGTGAATATTAAAATTTCCATTTTTCCAATGTGAACTGAGTAAAATTATCACACTCTGCTACAAATACTATCCACTCCAAGAAATCAAATTGCACAACTTTTTTAAAGGGCCCACCCCCCACCATATGCCCCCGGCCCCAAGGTTCCTATGTTCCTTACTATTACTACAAGAAGCCATGGAAAAATATATCTTTGAGAGCCATAATTGGTCTGCAGATCTACCTTGCCTGTACATTATCCAGGCTCGCAGGAATGTCCCTTGGCCCACCTTTGCGAGACAAACATGAGCAGCGCTTTGTGTTAAAAATGAAGAGCGTTTTTCTCAAAGCAGTGAACTAAAAAAATGAAACAAGTCCGTGGAATGATACACAATGTAAATCATATAAACCCTAAGTTTGCCAATTTGACAAATTGCACTATACATGCAAATTATATACCTTCACCAGTTGCGAGGACATTGAGAGCAATGTGAAGCTAAAATAAATATAAATTGAGTAAATTTCTAACTTTCTTTGGAAGTTTACATTCTGTCTCATTCCTTTACTAACTTCGGACTAACAGTGCACTTACAGAACGGTTTCCAAAGTAGTAACTGCCTTCCCAGCTCGTCTATTGAAACCGCGTTACTTCTTGCTACCCTTGCATTAGCTACCTCGTTTGAAAATGCAGGGTACATGACGGCTTAACGGATCCGATGTCAGTCTGGTACGTGGCATTATCATAGCTTTGCAGGTCTTTATGTCCTGCTGGCCCTTTTCTTGCTCTGAGACCAGTCTGGTTTCAGCCTCCAGCAGCCAAGACTATGTCACGCCACATTCATATCTTTTTAGAAGTGGCTGTGGCATCATCAGCTAGGACTACTGGCCTACTTTAGTCTGTTCTTCTTTGTGACAACGTTAATTTTTGGTGTTGATTTATCATTGTCCGTGACTGTGAAAAGTCCCTGTTGCCTGACACGATGCACGCCGGAGGATTATCTTCCAAATAAAAAACAATTATTGACAGGATAAATACTGAAGGATGTGCAGATTACTAAAGGAAGTATAGTAGTTAGAAAGGTCAAAGGAGTTTGCTATTGTGGGGGTGGTTGAGGAAAATTTCCTATCCGTTAAATACGAGGCAAAAGTATACAAATCAGAATAAATTGAGTGACACTTGATCGACGCCCCATCATTCTGATAACAATAACGATTGTGTCAATTATGTCTAAGGCGCACAGTATCACTAACAGTACGTGTATCTATCATATCAAGGCGACGATAATTTATTGTTCCTGTACAATTCAGGCTCACAATATCTCAACATCCGTGAAACCATCTCAACTTCATGGGGAGCAAGTGGCTAAATATAATACTATATTATGCCTTCATACTATTAACTGGTATGAATTTATTTGGATGTTGTATTAAACTAAATGTCGCAGTTGATAAATTCATTTCGCTAATGGGTTCCCACTTTCTTGACTGTGTCCTCAGTCATTCGCCGAGCAAACCCTGGGAGTCATGGCTTGGCTGATCCCGTTGGGAGTGTGTATATCTACCGCAGGCAACCTTGTGACCAGTTTCTTGTCCAATACAAGGTATCAAAGTTCAGCCCAAATTATGCCACGGCACTGTTCTTAAACTTTAATAATTTTACTTTGTTAATGTGTTCTGAAGGCCTGCCCATGGCGATGTGTGAACTATTAAAAAAAATATTAGGACTGATACTGTACGCAGGTCGAGAGGCTTGTTTTGAGGGGACATTAATTCTGTGTTCATTTTCTCAAGAAGAGAGATGATTCTTAAAAGGGTCTCAGGAGATAGATTACGGTAACAGAATTACCACTATTATAGTGTCGCGATTTCAGATGCCCATCGAATAATGCACAGATTACAGCACTAAAAACGAATTAGTATGAATTACCTATACCTGGAGCTAACTTCAGAGACACAGAGTTGAGGATTTGTGAAAGAATTGAGTCGGAAATAGTTCAACGACTTTTCGTTTGGCAGTTCTCTAGAAAATGATTCAATTATTATTTGCACTACCAGGATAGCATTTGCTGCGGGGAGAGAAGGCCATATGCTGCACATCTTATCCATGGTCAATGCCAAGTGTAATACGCCACTCCCTGCCATAGTCTTACAGGTACGTACAAAATCATCCAAATACACTTCATTTGTCCTTCACCAGATTGAAACCAATTTCTATAGACCTAAAGATATTCAACCAAATGCTATCTAAAGCAAAGATGGTGATTTTTTCATGGACCACAAATGTTATTTTAGGCCTATATATGTAGAAAAACCATTCGACCTTTGGTTATTCATAAAGCTATTTGGACTTAATACTGGATCCCAGGAGATTTTATTTTTAAGAAGTTTAAATTAATAAAGGTGAACAAAGAAATTAACTGGAACAGGATTTGAACCTGTGGACTCCGGAATACCGTATTCGTGCTCTACCAACTGCCCGATGTTGGTGGCTCTTCGCATTGTCAATATCTTTGTTCAGGGTTAAATTTAATTTATAAAAGTAAAGATTTGATGAACTATTAAGTTACAATCAACCATTTCAGAAGTAATCCAGAACTACAAAAGAAATTTGGTCTATATCTTAAACACATTAATGGTGATATGAATCAAGCTGTTTAATTTGTGTTTGTTGGACACCTGGTCCCCTTTGATAGCACGTTTAACAAAATGGCAGTAAATTTCAACAGTTCGAAAAGTCGAAAGGATTGTAATTATTATTTTCTTCATTCACATTCCTACGTCGCCAACTTCGGTAATTGTGAGACAATAATTCGCTCGTATTCTCGGCCTTTGAAAAACGGTTTTTCTGCCACCTTTCAAATAAAATGGCGAGGTCACGTCTACTAACAGTTAAACTCAATTTTGGAGATTCTTATTTATATTTAAATTATTTTGATTGTCAATCAAGGAAGTCTTCTAAGTGCCGTTATTATAACCAGATACCGTCTCGCGTATGATTAAAATACGTTAAGGTTTGATCAAATTGATTGTTCCCCTCCAACCCCGATGCCCCGGAAGAAAATCATGCAAATACCTGCAGCTCTATAGGGGTTTCCAGGGCCAATTGTATATTTTTCCAGTTAATATCTCCCGACGGCGAAATAATACCTCGCCGCAGCGACTTATTCTATCACCGCAGCGACTCGCCACTTGTCGGGGCGAATGTCTGTCTCTCCACGGCGAATTATACGATTTGCTGCATCGTCAAATCGACATCCTGCCGCGGCGAATGTTTTGATAATTTCATAAATTTTTCAGCGTGCCATCGTTTTCAAATGCTTCTTTAGAGTGGAATGCATTGAAATTTGGGTTTAGATTGCCAATTGGAACAAAAGTGGAGGTTATATTTTGACAAAGCTTGTTTACCAACCCAATAGATAACAAAAGAAATCGTATTTTATGATGTAAATTTCAACATTCAGAGGAGGGGAATACTGTTTTTAATTCCTTCGTACATTTTCCAAGAACCAAACAAAAGCAAGTGGGCTTGAAAGGTACTTTTGAACTTCCATCAGTCGACATTTAAAGCAGAGAACCAAGTACTTTTACAAACGTAACGCATGAAATACCTCACAGCTTTGGATATTAGTGCCCTAATCCCCAAATAATAAGTGCACATGTGCCATGCACACTGGGGCGGAAGTGTCAATCCGTGTTCAAATGTTAAAATGAACCCCATCAATAAAACTCTCCAAAATAATACATTTACGGTGTGTATTTGCACTTCCTAGCGCCCTCCGCTAAATGGGCGGTTTGTGACGAGTGAACGCATGGATGGGAGGTCAAAGAGCCTGGGGATTTCAATCCAGTTAATGAAAAAGTGTGTGTTAGTTTCCCTTTCACGTTCACTTCATTTTCTTTCTGAATGTTGAAATCACCTATATCATTGCAAATTTTGATGTTACAGTGATATCAACATCGAGATTTGGCCTGAAATGGTAACACACATTGGCTAAAAATATGCATGAGCGTCGCCAGAATTTTTTCGGCGGGGGGCGACCGTAGGGGTTAACTTTCTTTTCTTTTTTTTCTCACGACAATTGATGATTTTCATACCGTTTCATTTCTATTTTTCATTTCTTTGGCTTTTTAAATTTTTTCATTTTTTTCAGGGTCCCCTGGCACGGCAATCCTTTCAACAGGTAAATTACTAGAGAGTCAAAGTAGTCTACCCCCACGTCTGAGTATGGACATTCACACCCCCAAATGGGTGAATGTGTGTGTGTGTACATGTGTGTTGGAAATAAAGCTTTGTTGAAATACAAAATCCCTGACCCGTTGTTGAAAGCAATCTGATACCTATCTCGCTACATTCCACTCTGAAAATTCATCTGAGAACGACACGATAAATACGATTCATGAAACTCTTAAAATGTTTGCTGTGGCAGGATATAAATTGACGCCGCGGCAAGATAATATTTCGCCGTAGCAAGATAGTAAGTCGAAAAAACATTGCAAGTGGCCCTTATACGCTTCCGTAGATTTCGAAATGTTGCCTCCGGAGAGAGCGCATCTGAGCTTTTCCTGACGAAATCTTAGATGTTAGGAAAATACCAGTGGCGGTCGGTTCGAGGTTGCGCTTAGGCCTCCTCCAGCTTACAGAATAATTAAACAATGCTATAGCCGTTGTGTGCAGTGATCTCGATATTTATACTGATGTGGACAGTCCACAATTGATTTTCTGATTGATTTGTTATACTTTGGCTTTGTTTTTCAGGGACTCCTTTCGGTGGTACTAATAATGATCGGTGACTTCAATTCGATCATCAAATACCATAGTATTGCGCGTTGGGTTTTCGTTACGGCTGCCTTTGCAGCGGTGTTTGTGCTGCGGCGTAAATATCCGGATGTATACAGACCCTTCAAGGTAGGTATGTCTGGTGTGGAAAACATGGCGCAGATCTTCAGTTCCAAAAATCTGTCTCATCCACGAACTGACCTCTACTGCACTTATTGAACTATATTAATACGCACTCTGTATTACCACATCATGCATTCGCATATGATTCCAAAGCCATTTGTTTGCATTTTTTATTAAGTTAACATCTTGACGAGGGGATAATTAAAAATGTATTAGCTTTTCAAGATAACGATCGCGGCTTTTGTGTAACTCGTTGGTGAATTACAGAAGTTCATAACTCTGAAACGGTTGAAATAAGCTTGCAACTGAGTTAGTTTACCTTATGTGTCCCAAGCTGTTCGAGCGTACTTAAACGTCAGTCATCGGGTCGCAGCACCGTTTTCTTTGCAGAAATATTGTCTCCTACCATGATGGTTTTCATATTTCATTTAAGATAAAACATTTTCTGTCTACTTTAGAGCGGACAAGAACATTAGTCGATCAGATCGCCATTTAGCAGCTAATCCTCAACAATATCAACAGTTCCATGTGATTTAGTGAGCATGAAAAACAAGCCACAATTCCATCCATAGGATTATTTTGATATCAACTATTATCATTAAGCTCATTAGGAGCAGACTCGCCCACAAACATTTCTGACAGGCTGGTAATTTTTGAAAGGCTGAAAATGAACGTGATGAGTCAGTGTTAGATGAATAAGCGTAAAACCCTTGGATTGGTTAATGTTAGCTCATTGCGTAAAATGATCGTAATGATTGTTTTCCAGTACAGAAACTGATATTCATAGAAAGAATTCCTTAAAGTCTTATTTTTCTGTTCAGATTTAAAATTTGACGTTTAAGAATAGCGATTCCAAATCTTCAGTACAACACTTTGTGAAAAGACGATTTGATTTGGAGTATTGAATGAGGCAAAACCTAATTGAGGTTTTTGCAGGTATTTATCCATGGGCATGTACATAAAGTGCATTACATGTTTGACATCCAGTCCAATGATGCAACGCAAATGTGAAAAGTGTTAGTAACAAATTCATGTTCGTGTTTATTCCTGACTTTAGCCACAGCGTTTTCGGGACGCAGACTGATTAAATGTTTGGATTCCACATTATCATTATTTAATGGTTGTCATAGTTTAGTTCCATTCAACTGTGTTGCATTTAGGTCAATAGTTTGGTCGCCATCCTTGCAGTTGCTAGCTCTGTCTTCATGGTTCTAGCACCGGTCATTTCGGATCCCACGCTTGAGTACCTCTACGCATTGGTCTTGCTCGCAGTGGGCATCCTGGTCTACATTGTGTTCGTGCGAGGAAAAAGACAACTTCCATGTATGCTCAAGTTATTATTCATTTGACTTATTTTGGTCATTCGTCGCCTTTGTAAAAGTACAGAAACATTGAAGATGTTTTGATCCACCAAGATTGTTTAGCCAAGACGTTTTTACGATTCCGAACACTTCGGAAATGATTCTTCGATTTGATGAACAAAGTTGTAACAGAATCGAATAACAACGCCGAATACTGTGAAACTTGACTATGTCTGGCGTGGCAGTTTATGGTAGGTAAAATTTTCGTACGTTTTGTTCACAGATAAAGTGACGCTGTTCTGCCAGAAGTTATTTTTCGTCGTTCCATCTCGTCCTTAGGATAATGCATATAGGCCTAGGGCAAAGACAGGCCGAGGCTTGAACAGGTGGACCTATTCCCTTCTCCCGGATGATTGCCTCTCTTCTTCAAAATGTATACAAAGAACATTATCGAAGGCTGGGTAAAAAGAATGATGCTATACAAATTGGTCTGATGTATACGTTCCTTTACTGTTTGAACAGTTAAAATAGTTAAAATGCCCATAATTATTAATGTAAATGAAACAATAGATATAACATATTATAACACCTCATTCACAGATTCTGTATCTTGATTTGCCGAAAGTGTGTCATATGACAGTTGTTAGTTTGATCATCTTTGTACTACCAATGCAAAAAGACTATACACAAGCAGTCTCGCTCTGAAAAAGAACCATACCCGTAGCAACTAAAGAACTTTATCCGTAGCAACGAAACCATGAATAGTACCCAGGCATGTATTTCGGCTTATAGCTTAAACCTTTATCTGTCACTCTCTAACCCGTTGAACCAAGCTCCGTACTAGCTTAATAAAACGTCCTAAAGAGAACGTGATTAAACATCAGCTGGTCAAAAATTTCGACAGAGAATCACACGGTTTGGTACATACACGTATATTACATTCATAAATCTCGCGATAAGGGTTGGGCCAATTATGTTTTCAACAGCACATAAACATCTGTTATAAAAGCTTCTATAAATATTCACGATGCCCACCATCGCTGCCTCAATGTTCCAAGCGCGGGAAGAGATGATAGCTAACAATCGACAAAAGTCATTCGAGGCAAATTAAGAATTTTCTGGAAGCAGCCATGTTCCTGAGGGTGAAAGTATTTGCATAGCACCCTCTGTTGGCTAAAGGGTCTTAGGTTGCAAAGTCATTATACATTCTGTTACACATTGCACATGCTTCAAGTGATTGGTGGAATTGCATAAAATTAGTTTTACGAGTTTTACGAGTATCCTTAAAATTGGGCTACAGACGTTATTTACTTTCATTTATTTTTTTATTTCAACAACGTCGGAGTATAAAGTGTAGTTTGTATACGTGATTAGATTGAGTTGATAGCTGAAGGATTTGGGGAATCATTTTTGATTATTGGAACAATGTATTCACCAGTTATTTTCATATTATACATGTAAAAAAGTCATACTGGTGGGCCTGACGTTTCGATTTTAGCAGAATTTTTCTTGTACTGCTTCTGAGAAAGATTCTGTCAGGACAGGATCGTCAGGCCTGCCGTTGTTTAAAATTGTATCTTAGGTCATTGCAGCCAGCAAGCAGTTTGCAGCATTTCTTTCTATTGTATATTTTCGTTAAAGTATTACTCACACCTTTTCCACCTGCTGACAGTTTTTAAGGCTTTTTCCAGCCATTTATGGTCAAAATCATTAACGTGCAGTTTGATATTTGATGAAAATTGACATTTTAGTTCGTTTTCAGTTGCCTTTTCTGAAGTGGTCTTGGTTTTTGTCTGAGAGGGAGAGACATGGGCGCACACAAACACATATCAGCTAGAAACATCTATTTTTTGAGAGATATGTTATACGAACTAAGAAAGATTCTTACATCAGGATTTAAGTCGATTATTCACGTTACGTAGATGTACAGTGCAAGCTTGCTGTGAAAGTCGTAGGTTTCGGAACAACACTTGGCCAAGCAGTTAAGGCAGTTGCTTTTGAGGATTTTTACTAACCTTTTCTTTATTGGGAAAGAGATGGATAGACATTTGAAAGCCCTTTCGCTCCTTGTCATAGTTGACCTGAATTGACCGACCGTCGTATTGCCTTTGGGCTTGGGTTAAAACAAATTAATGCTTGTCGCATTAATTTCACTTGATTTAATGTGTCTTAGGTGAAATTAGATTTAAGCCATTTATAATGTAAAACAGCACAAACTTATATAGATTCCTGTGCTAGCTGGATTTATTGTCTTTTTTGTTCTTTATTTTTCTGTAGTTATTTTACATAACACTTGTTCCATTTTATTAACAACTATAGGTCTATTTAAAAAAAACTGCTCATTATGTTTGATAATGTATAAAAATTTTTTACATTCTTTAAAACAAAACTGACACTGGTCAAAACAGACTCAGAAATGTCAATTGTGTCATCAAAACATGCACAATGAGAAACGCCCTCCACAGTGATGTAGGCCTATTACTGTTTTCAAGATAGGGATGTTCTCTTTTACTTTTCATTTTGCTTTCTGTTTCTTGTTCAGTAGCGATTTTGGACGTTCATTTAATGTGAAAAACTCTTTTTATTTCCTTTTTATGTTTTAAACATTTTTTCAACATATAAAACATAACGATATCAACATAATAAACTCGAGCGAATTTCGCTTGAAATGTTTTCTGTCGTTAATTTGCTTCCCTTTCGCGTTCGCCTGAAGTGTGAGGCTGCCTAATGACGCACAATAGCATTGTACGTGTAATATGTAAACTAAGAATGCACCTTTCCCATTGTGTAAGTCAATCGAACTATTACCAAGCTACAACAGGATTCTCAATTTGATTACTACATGCAGTGTAATTGCCGTGTATGTCCTACGTCCACCATGAAAATCGATGTAAGTTAATTTTTGTATTGTTTTATCATACACATCTGTATGCATTTTCATTTATGATTTGTGCATTAATACAAATTGATCGCTATTTCGAATGGGCACTATGGCAGCCATGCACTGCATTAAACTTGGCTTGCAAAAGGTTTTGTCTGAAGTTTTTTACTTCTTTCTGAGGATCTTCATAAATACATTTTTCGGCTGTAGTTTTGTTTATATATTGTGTCTACACTACAATTATATTCTACAAAACAAGTAGCGTAACTAGGGCTAGATGTCTGGGGGCACCTGGGAATGCAAATATTTTTGCAAGGAGGCAGTACAAGCGAACTTGGGAAAATTGTATCTCATAAAAACGAAGCTGTAAAATTATACTTCATAATAAAGAACTCGGAAAAAACATACTTCATGAAAATTAACTTTTGAAAAAATATACTTTTCCTTTTGAAAATATATACTTGATGGCACTCCAGGGCTTCCGTACAACCCCAAACCTAATAAGGAAACTGAATGCTTTCCTTAGTTCAGTTTACACAAAGGGGCACGCAGATACTATCAAATTCAGTAAAAGCAGGAACTAAACTTCTTCCTACACAAAACTACATAACGCAGTGAAGAAAAACTTCCCAAAAGGACAAGATGACAGAATTATTAATTCACAATATTTTCGTTTCTTTATTACCGGAGGGGGGTGTTACTCGTTTGCGGAAGNTCATAATTGAATAATTGGGAAATTTAAGTTTTTAATTTAAGACAGGATAATCGGTTCTCTTGCCAGAAAAGGCGCAAATATCTCGTCTTGATTTTGCCCATTATCTTTATTGTTTTTGTGCACTTTCATTGGTCAAACCACGGACCATTTACCCAGGGATGTGCAACCGCGAGCGGCCCAAGTGCAAACACATGTACGACCTTGGTTCCATGCAAGTTATGGATTGTTATTACCCCCGCAGGCGTTCTCGACTTTTCTCGAGAAAACTCGCGACCACAATGTCACGCGTTGCAGCATACAGCATGTACAGTGCAGCCGTGGTTATGCCGAGACGACGCGCCGACGCGGTGCTTAAATCTATTCGTTTTGACAAATAAATTTTCTTCATTTATCGATTTCAAGCAGAAACGAAGTTTTAACGAGGCAAAATCCCCCAATTTTGTGGTACACGTTTCTCAGAATGTATAGGATGAAATATCTTGAGCAGCATTTTTTTAGAAAAGGTGTATCTTGACTTTAAATATTACAAGAAAACAAAGTGGTAGACAGGAATATATGTTTTATTATTGGAGATAATCCAATTTAATTTCTGCTTTGATATTGTGCCGGCCGTAACACGCACTGAACCAGCTCTGAGCTTATGTTGCACATCCCTGGGTAAATGGTCAGTGGTCAAACATTCATTTCTTGGTGGGTACACAAAAACACAAATGAACAAGGCGCCCCTTTCAGTTTGTACTTGGCCGCCGCCTTTTTGTGTCTTGGATGCTTTCGCATTTCCTCTGGGCTCAAGACGGAGATATCTATTCAAAATACAGTAACTGCCAAATTTCCAAAAGTTCAGTTTCTTTTTTCCTGAATAGGGAGAATTTTCAGTTTGGTTTGTTTCAAGTGATTTTGACAATGATTGCTCGTTGAATTGTTTTTGTTGATACAATGCAGTTACTGGTAGGGGTCATTCTATGTCAGAATAACACACTTTCTGACCTGAGGTCTTTAGATTTTGATAAAACTTCCTGCGCTTTTAGACATCAATGAATAATAAATACCGGCTAATTTCTAGCAGAATCCTCCTTTCCATGTGGTCAGGGTAGAGCTCAACAAAAATGGACAGTTTTCACTTAAAAATCCACCTTTTTTAATAGTCAAAATGAAAAATAACCCTCTCATTTTTTATCAGATATATGCAAATGTGGTAAAAACTAAACAGAAGAACATGCTCTCTTCACTGAGGTTGTGGAAATTTAGCTTTGTACTTTAAGATTCAAGATTCATGGGGGGGTGTTAAGTGACAATAGGCTGAAGTGTGTTTAGGGATTGGACTTGTTGGGGGGAACCCTCTGTCCCATTTTGTGTCTGATATAACATCGACTGGTCTCTCTACCCATATGCAGCAAGGTATGAAACGTAGAGAACCCCCCCTGCTTTGTGTTGGTCATTGTCTCGCAGGAATCTGGGGAATTCCTTTCAGACATCTTGGGGGATGTGTTAAGTAACAATAGTCTGGAATGTGTATAGGAATTGGACATGTTGGGGGGGGGTACCCCTCGGTCTCATTTCTTGCTGGGTATATCTCTACGATGCTAGGGATTAGAATAAACCCTAAACTGGATTGGTGAATGAAGACAGGAATTGCTCCAATCATTTTGTATTCATGATATGCATGACTTGTGCATAGCATCACTTCATTGCTCTGAATGTAATATAGCTCATCAATGTAGGCTTACTGTTACTTGTTCCTACTGTGGGGAGCTGCCCATGTTTGATCGTGAGTGGAGTACGCCGTCAATCGTTCACCTTAACTGTTGCATGGCATCATACCTTTTTACCTTCAAACTTACATGTGTTTTTATACGCCTATATTGAAAATAGTTCTGGTTTCTCTTATGATGGATGTACATGTCCTTGAATTGACTGGGATTCCCTCAAGACACTTTAGAATAGTCCTTGCTACATTTCTGGATTTAATATACAGGGTAGTGTCAAAGTTATACTGAAGGGGAAGTGTATGTTTTCAGTATTCATACCGCACATGGATACGTCATTCCCTGCTTGTTTTGCTGAGCCCGCTGTGTCCCATGCGCGCTCCTTTTCCATGGCTGCCACTTCATGGACAGCAGGGTGCATTCCACCAAATCGTTGTATTTCTGCGCGCGAGCTCATTAATATTTTGTGATCCGACGGGTTTTTTTCTAATAAGACAGACCATAATCGGGAGGGATCAAAGAAATATTTCTATAAATCCCGAATTCGGGACTGATAGTTTCCAGTTCGGTGTATTTCTCCAAAAAAAAGCCTCAAATTGCGGGCCTATTTTGGATAGAGGCGGGCGGCTACATTCAGATATGAGCACTTTGTTTTACTGCTATTTTGAGGGTATCTTCCTTGAAAATTAAGCGAATAAAAAAAATCATGGCTAACCCCCGTGCAATGGAAACGAAAAGTGATCTTCTGGAATTAATCTTGAATTTCCAGAGAAAAAAACGGAGGCCGACCTCTTCACGAGAGTCAACAGGCGGCGCTGTTTCGATATGATTTTGCACTATGGGCGCGTATTTGGTGTAGTGCAACCAGAAGGCCCAGCTTTCCGTCCGGCTTTTCGTCATATTTTTGCCTGTTCAGAGGCTTCAGGCCTGGGCCTGGGTGAGTAGGATTTTATAAAGTTGGGGTATCCTTGTGCCAGTAATTTATGATTTGTCTTCTCAATTATTTGTAACCTTCACCTGTGTACAAAGGGCCTGTGTGTCTTGCATGATCACGTGGACTGCTCATTTGCATAACCCACAATGATAGCGAGATCGATCGCTGTTGTAGCTTTAAATTGTGCGTTTGCAGTGTAATTTTTGTCGTAGACACGCATATTTAACTCTACGCTACTTATATATGTACTAGAATGGGTAAATGAGTTGTGGTTATAGTTTTTACATAAATTTGTGCGCCGTGTAATTCAGTAGGATTTGTGTTTTGTATCAATTTTAGGGCTCTTTTCTGTAGACCGATCAACTTAGGAATAAAATTACATCAGTGATCAAAGCCCAGCCGTCCAATCATGGAGGAAGGACATAGAAGGAGTTACAACTCTGGCACATCAAAGTGCTCGATGATCATCGCCGCCTGGTCAGACAAACAATAGTAAACATTCCAAAAATGCCTGATCACTGCCTGCAGCTTAACCGGACAAGTAGGGCCAGTAATATCCTTGCAGTGTTTGTGGACTTTTCCCTGCAATTAATTGCAACTTTTCGCAGTGACAAGGAAATAAAAAGGAAAACATATAGCATTAGATTTACTTTTGCCGTTATCATTTTTTTATTTTAGATTTTGAGGCACTTTTCCATTATCCATGCAATGTTTGTAATTTTATTTTGTTACTCCTAAACACCAATTTTCAAAGTCTTTCTACGAATTTGGCTAAGACTGGCCAACAACATTTGAGCCACCACAGGACAGTTAAGATCACGAAAAACAAAATGCTCTGTGTCATCACAAGGAGTGATCATGAAATATAATAGAATACCTTTTTGTGTAAATCCAGTTTTAAAAATGATTCAAATAAAACACAATATCTCATAAACAACTTCGCTATTTATTCCCAAACAAATCCAGAAGAAAGCGTTCGATAAGGGCAATAACTGCACATGAATACTTACGGCACACAGCCTAATACAAGCAACTCCGCAAGCATTATTTGATGTTGTCAGATCATACAAGCACCAACGATGGCCTGAATATTCATCTTCCTATGCTGCAAAAAACAAAAAAAAGCGAAAAATTGCGGTGACGATCATGGGGTACAAAGGGGGCTTACGGTTTTGATACAGGTGGTGCGTGGCGAGCATTCGCTGCGCTCTGGCTATGGACATACTGGGCATGCCAGGGAGCGGTAATTA